ACACACCCAGGATACACCCCTCCTCACTTCCTCTGCAGAGCATTTTAGCACCCAGACAAGTAAGAGTGCTGTCTTTATAGGGTAACGTTGAACATTCTCTAAGTTTTATCTGTGTATGACGGTGTAAATATTGGAAATAGTTCACAAGCTTTGGAACCTAAACGATTCTCAGTAACCAGTCGTTCCTGGGTGGGCCCAGGGCTCCAGAGTGTCCCACCACTAGGGCCTTCCCAGCCCGGGACGTCCCCGGCTGCTGTTTCTCTTGGCATCTCTGCAGGGCCGGTCCTGGTTCCTGGAGAAGCTGAGGCCGTGTGCAGTTAGGGCTTCCGTCTTTCCGGGCAACAGCGCCTCTCCAGTCCTGGTTGGGCCTTTGTTCCAGTTCTGACTCCCACCTTCCAAGGCCTGTATCCTGAGCCTTGCACTTGCCCTCGCCTTTCTCCTCACAGCCCATCAGGGGGACGGGGGGTGGGGAGGGTGTTCCCAGGGAAGCCCCTGTCCACTACCAAGAGGAACTTGGTGTAGGGGCTGAAAGCCTGGGGTTAGGTACCCAACTTCTGATCTCCCACCACCAAATTCAGAGTCTGGGGCAAGAAAAGTCACCTCTTTGAAAACTGGGTGGTTGGGAGGGAGAGGAACAGGCGGTGAGACGGACAGAGCCTGCAGCCCGTTGCCAAGTCAGGGCTGGCTTGTGCAGAACTCAGCTCCAGTTCTTCTGGGCTCTTCCAGGCCCTTCCTCAGCAGACAGGCTTCCCCCATTCCCCTCAAGACAGGGGGTTGAGGCTGCACAAGTGATTTCGGCAGCTCATTTCTCAGCAAAGCCTGTGCCTGTGCCGGGATAGCCTTGAGCTCAGCAATCTGTGATATGAAGGGCTGGGGTGGGGATTCTCACAGGGAGACCTCCTGCTCTGATCTGAGGCTCTTGTCAGGGCTTGGGCGGCCACACCCATTGCTGGGGACCAGTGACAGGCCCTTCTGTCACCCACTGGTGTGAACTTGAGGGAGGGGTTGACGCACCAGACACCTGGTTCCCTCCCACCACTCCCCCCCTAGCCCTGGGGTAGGGACCCTCAGGGTTCCTTTTCTCCCACATTTACGAGGGCTGCTGGGCAGCCCAGTTTCCTGTGAACACCCTGCACCAGGGTTTGATGGCCTTTCTCATTTTTGCTAAACTTTTTTCATCTGCTGAGGTCCTTTCACCACCAAACAGTAACTGTGAAGCATGATGGTGGCCTGAGGGCAGCCTGGGGGGCATCCTAGCTACACCCCAACAGGCTGTAACCCTCAGGGCCATAACCAAGGAGACAAGGGGTCCGGCCTCCTGGAACTCCAGGAGGATGAAAGGAGATGACACTGGTGCTGAGCCTGGTGCCTGGCACAGAGTCAAGTACAGCCTTGGGCAGTGAGTACCCTTTCCATGAAGAAAATGTCACCAGGGGGGCCTTGAGGTCTAGAAAAGGCCCAAAGGCTCCAGGAGAGACTAGGTCCAGCTGGTCCCTCTGACTCTAGCCTTAAAAATCAAATTCCCTCCTCAGCAAAAACATAGCAAGCAATCCCAGCTCAGACCGGGGCTGCTGGAGAGAGGGCACCCTCCTCTCCCCTCCCTCCTGCCACCCCACTTCTCTCCCCTCCCTCTGCCCACCCCCAACCTCTCCCCTCTCCACCTTCTCTCATCTCTCCCCTCCTCCACTTGTCTTCCCCCTCCTCCATCTTTCCCACTCACACACCCAGGCAGAGGAGCAGCTCTGCCCAAAGCTGCGTATCTACCCCCTCCTCCTCCCTCACTGAGAGGGGTGGTACTCTGCAGCTGACCAGCACTGGGTCACCTCTGGTTCCTATTTGGCTGCACCACAGAATCACCTGAGCGCTGGGTCCCACACTCAGCCTATTGTAGGGCATGGGTATTGTGCTACACCAACAGGGTTGGAGACCAAAGGCAATCAGGACTGACTAGGGGGCCTCCAGCACCGTAGCCAGGAGCTGGAGCCAGAGCAAGAATGTGAACTGCCTGTCTTACAACACCTGTTCACTCCAGGCCAAGCTCACTTTACAGATGAGGAGACAAGGCTCAGAGAGGTTAACTAACTTGCCCAGAGTCACACAGCCACTGAGTGGTTAAGCCATGTTCAAGCCTCAGAGGCAGCTAACTGCAAAACCAGGGAGGGCTCCTCCAAGCTCACGGTGCCTTCTCTGGATCCTAGAACACTTCCCCCAGGGGAAAGGACAAGTCTAGCCTATGGCCTCCTGAGTGGTGTAGGTCCTATGGGGATAGCTCCAGGCAAAGGAAAATGAAAGGAAGAAACATCTACCTGACAGGGAGGCTGTAGCAGGAACTGGTGGGGGTGGCCGAACCCCAAGAATGGGGTGCAGCTGCTCCTAGGGAGCCTGCCCACCCTCCCTCAGCTCTTCCTGAAAGGCATTTGGGGCCCACCCCTGGTGTCAGGTTCCTGGCCCTGCACCACAGCTGTCGCCCCCATCCCCAGGGGCTGCTACTTTCCCAGGCTGGAGGATCTGATCCCTCCCAGCTCCACCTCCCTACCCCAGGTGGTGGGCCCTCTAGTTCAAAGCATCCCTCTCCCAACTAGGCCCCCAGCGAGCTCAGGCCCATGCTCCATTCTCTAGGGGAAAGGAATTTCCCAGGGAAACTTCCTGGGGCAATATCCCCAAGAATAAAGGGGCTCCTCAAAACAGGAGGGAGGGCACTATGGAAGACCCCCCACCCTAAAGTGGGAGATGCACATTCACTTACCTGTGTTCAGGGTCCTCTCCCCCATGTTCAGAACCTCACCTCCCAGGTGCTGCTGTCCCCTCATTTCTCAGCTCAATCTGCCATGTGCACAGGACCATATTGTACAGAAAGCTCCATGTTGGGCAGGTAGAGGAGAACTTGCCACCCTCTCTCACGCACACACAGACACACACACATGTTCTGGTCACCCACGAGAAATTTACCCACACACGGCAGATTAAACAAAGGCCATGCTGACACAGGAAGGTATTGGTTTTCTGGCCCTTCTCGATCAGCAATAAGGCCCAGTAGAAGGTGCTAGCAGATGGGCCCAACTTTGGAACCAGACCTATATGTGTTTCCTAGCTAGGGACCCCTGGATAGGTCATCCCCGCTCTGGCCTCAGTTTCCCCATGTGTGCAATTCAGATGGTCAGTGGGTAGCCTTCATCAAATGGACCAGGGTTAGGGGGATGGAAGGGACAGGAGAATAAAGAACACACATATACACACAGCATCTCTAGGAAGAGTCCCAGGTTGTGTCTGTTGCAGAGGCCTCTAATGGCCTCCCCTCTAGCCCACTGGTCCATATGTCCATGGCCCCCAGAAAGGTCCCTGTCAAACCAGCCTTTCCCCAAACACAGCCCCAGCCACCTACCGTCATGGCACAGAGTGGTAAGATGCAGATACAACCCTGGGAGGGCACATCCACAGGGATCTAGGACGACGTGCTGGGGAGGTACATTGGTACCGACCCTGGAAAGAAGGATGAGTCTGTTTAAAAGACAGTAGGAGGGACTTCCCTGGTGGTCCAGTGGTAAAGGACCTGCCTTACAATGCAGGGGATGCGGGTTCGATCCCTGCTCAGGGAACTAAGATCCCACATGCCATGGGGCAACTAAGCACGCGCACTACAACTACTGAGCTCGTGTGCCTTAACTAGAGCCCTCGTGCTGCAAACTACAGAGCCCACGTGCTCTGGAACCTGCGCGCCACAACTACAGAGCCCCAGAGCGCATGCGCCCTGGAGACGGCGCACCACAACGAAGAGCCCGCCCGCAAAGAGAGATCCATCATGCCTCAACGAAGATCCCACGTACCGCAACTAATACCCGAGGTAGCCAAGAATAAATAATAAATAAATCAAAAAAAAAAAAAGACAGGAAATGAGGAGGTAAAAGAATTCCTAGCAGAAAGGACAGTGTGAACAAAGACATAGATGTGTGAGAGTGCAAGGGCGTAGGGACTGCACCAGAGTTACTTGTCCAAGCACTAGGTGAATTAAGACATTCAGGTGGATTAACACTGAGCCACGCACTGTTCTAGGCCCTAGAGATACACCACTGAACAAAGAGCTCTTCACAAGAGAGGTGGTGTGGTAGAATGTTTATAAGCTTGGGTTTGGGAGCCACCCTGCCTAGGGGTGAATTACTACCTGTGTGATCTTAAGTGAGATAACCCCTCTGCGCCTCAGCTTCCTTATGTGTAAGATAGGTAATAGATAACCTCATAGGCTTGTGTGACGGTAAAGTACGCTGATTCAGTTAAGGTGCCTAGAACTGTGCCGGGTTCATTAAGTGTTAGGTGGTGGTATTACTGAACGGCTGGACCTCCCCATCTCCGCCCCATTGCCTAGCATGCTGGACCCCAAAGCCGGCGAGACTGGGCAGCAGCGCCCCCTCCTGGCTACCAAGAGAAAGAAGGGCCTCCTCCCGATACTCAGCGGCCCTCCTTGCCCTCTTCCTCCCGGCGGACTGGGAAGCCTCAGGAATTACTCTACCAGCCCAGGTTCACCGAGCGCTACTCCCGTGGCGGGCTCTGCGCGCGCACTTTGCCGTGCGGGGGTAAATTAGATCGTCTCATCTAATTTTCAAACAGCTCTCTGAGGCAGACACGGTTACTGTTTCCATTTCACCAAGGGAGAAACTTGAGGCTCCGGGAGGTCGAGTCCCTTGTTCCAAGCCACTCAGCGAGGGAGCGGCGGGACGTGAAGGCAGGAGAGTGTGACTGTCCCCAGCTTCTGTTTGGTCGCGCGGGGCAGCCCGCCCCAGTCACTGCGGCGAGCGCGCGCCGGTGTGCGCGCCCGTTCTGTGCGCGTGTGCGCGCCCCGACACCAGCCCCGGGGGGCCCGGAGCGCGGCGAGGAGCGTGAGGAAGCAGTGGTTGCCCCGCGGGCTCGCGGAGCGCGAGGGCGGGGCTTGTGCCGGGCCCTTGCCCCGCCCACCGGCCCCGCCTGCAGTGCTTAGGAAGGGAGGAGGCGGCGCTGGGAGCCGGGACTCGGCGGGCAGCGAGGAGCGCGGAGCAGGAGCCGGACGCGGCCGCCGCAGCCACCTGCGCGGCAGTCATCAAGGTAGGGCGGCCCCGGGCCACCGGCCATACCTTCCCTGTCGGTGCGATGTGTGCGCGCTGCGCCTCCGGGCTGCAGTGCCCGGGGAGGGATGCTGGGGCTCGGCGCACCGCAGGGGACCCGGCGGGGCTCGGGGTACCTGGCTTCCAGCCCCTCTGCGTGACCTTGCACAAAGCACTGCTCCTCTCCAGGCCTCAGTTTCCCCATCGGGACAGCGGGCCCAGTGGTGGCCCGTTCCTCGCTGGGCTCTTGGGAGGGGCCGCCTCAAGCTCCAGCCTCCCGACGGCGAGGGGCCTGGATGTCTGCACAGCCCACCCGCAGTGAGGGCCTCTTATGCTGGCTCTGGCGAGTCGGTCCCGACAGTCCCCCCCATTAGTGGCCTGGGTGCCTCGCGGGACCTGTGTCGGGACCTCTTCCCTCTCCTGGCTGAGTAACCTGCTGGGCCTCAGCTTCCCTGTACAGGAAACAGGAAGCGGGGGGGGGGGACACCCCCAAGTCCCTATCGAGCCGGTCTGGGCATGTAGGGTGGGGCGGTCAGAGTCTGCCTGCCAAGTCTGCCTCCCGGTCTGGGGCTAGGGGAGCCCTGGGTTGGAGGTGGTGGGGCCCTCGGCCACAGACTTGCCTAGACCAGACCCATGCAGGCACCTGTATTTAGGGAATGGTGTGGAACATGCCCTTCCCCATCCCTTCCCCATCCCTTCCCCACCAGTGCTGACGCCCAGCTCTACGTCCCAGCCTGGTGTGATAGGGATGGCTTGTCCACACACGGACCCCAGAGGGGCTACAGTGCCAAGAGAGCCATGTCTGAGTGGGGTTCGGTCTGGGACAGAGCAGATGTCTGAGGGACTGTGGCTCCAGGCTCTCTGGGTGAAGAAGACCTCTGGCATCTGGCCCAGCCCCTTGGTCAGATCTCCTTTGGAAGGTCCTGCTGTCCCATTGCACACCCCTTGTTATGGGAATCTCACTAGCTGTAAACAGAGCTAGAATCTACTAGTCCTGCTCCGAGCACACAGACAATATCTGACCCCTCCATCCCCCACCCCGAGGCAATCATCTGGTCCCTGAAATAAGTTTACCTCAGGGCTAAACAGCCCCAGATCCAGCATTGTTTCTCCTGTCAGAGCCTTAGGGAGCAAAGGCAAGACGAGGGAGCTGAGGTGTCTGCCCCAGAGCAGGCAGTAGTCAGCCTGGAGCTTATTCAGAACCCACTGTCATCAGGACTGGAATGTGTCCCCTGTACCCTTGGGTTAGCAGCTACCTTAGAGGTCTGGAGTGAGAGAAGGAGCCAGAGGAGCCCCTCTCCAGGCCTTCCAGCCCATGCGTGTTCTTCCCTGTCTTCTGTTGCCTGCCCTGATTGAGGGAGTAGTTTCTGAGAATGAGGACTGGGCCTTCTGGTCTCTCTTGTCCCCCCTCGTGACCTGCCCCTCACCCAGGAGCTTTCTTACAGCCAAAAGAAGGGAGACACTGCCAGGGCAGGTAGTGAGCACTGTGTCCTCAGAGGTTGTGAGCAGAGGCTGAATGAGCACTTGCTGGGGGTGAGCTGCCTTTGACTGCAAGTCTGGGACTCTAGGGCCAAAGTAGAGTGACCATGACCTTACCTTCTGGCCATGGTGGAGCTGCACAGAACTTGAAGCTAGACCACAAACAAGTGTTATTATCCTGTCGTAAAAGCAGACTAAGTATATGTGCTGTCACTTGAGCATAGCTCCGATGCACAGGCTTAAGTGCTACCTATGTCTCCTGTCATCTCTACCTGCATATAATCTGGGCTCTGTTTTCCTGCTCTACTAGTCCAAGCTATTTAGGCCTTGATTTAGAGGTATAGCAAATTCTGGTTATTAAAAAGTCATCCTATGCCAATAATTTTAAAATGGAATTATGGAATTATGGAATATCTAAACTGCAAGGGATCTTAAGAAATCATCCCATTCAATCCCCTCATTTGACAGATAGGTATCCCCTATCCCTGGAGGGGATGTGACTTGTCAAAGGTCACACAGCAGATGAGCAACCAAGCCCAGCGATCTTGATTCCAGAAACAGTGTGTGTGTGTGTGTGTGTGTGTGTGTGTGTTTGGAAACACATACCACATAGTAAATGAAAGCAATCTGTATTTATTCCTATAAAATTAGCAGAAATAAATATAAAAGGATAAACATCTATGCTGGCAAAGCTATAGGGATTCTCCCGTAGCATTTAATTTTGCAGAGCAACCTGGCAGTTTGTTACAAAAGTCCATGAAAATGATCCTAACTTCCCTTTGACCCTAGAATTCTAATTTGAGGACTTTACCCTAAGGAAGTAATTATAGAGAGAGACGAGTGTAGTGCTGTTACTTACAAGAAGTTATCTTATGGTGAAGAAGCTCTTGGTGTTTTATCTGAGGCTTAATAAACATTTCATTTAAAAAGTACACCTTTAATAATAGTGATACTAAAGCTTCCATGTCCAGAGTCTGGCCAGTGCAGGAGCAGTGTGGTCCAGAGGAAAAGCCATGAGACTCCTGTCAGCCTAGATTCCAGGATGAGCTCTTCCTGTACCCCACCGTGTGACCTTAGGTCAATCCCTGCCCCTTTCTGTACCTCACTTCCCCTGTATGTGAAATGGGGTAGATTCAGTGATTGCTGAATTTCTTTGAACTCTGACAACCCACATTCTAGACTTAGCAAATCTCTGTAGAGGAAGCCTTTATTAGAAGGAGCAGTGAACACAGGGATAACCAAAGATGGTTGCAGCCTCCCTCCCCCATCACTAAATGAATCCCCTTAGAGGCAAGCAGCTAGCTAGGGGAAGGGGCTTCCCTCAGCCTTAGACCTTTGTTATCTCCAAATGGCCAGAACCTGGATTTTTTTGTTTGTTTTTGGCCGTGCCCCTTGGCATGGAGGATCTTAGTTCCTCGACCAAGGATCGAACCCATGTCCCCTGCACCAGAAGCATGGAGTCTCAACCACTGGACCGCCAGGGAAGTTCCAGAACCTGGATTATTTTAGATCCTACTGTATTTTTGTTTTTATCCTCTTTACCAAATATCAGGGGACAGAGATTTTTCAGGAGGATCGGAAACTAATTCAGCAAAAGATCCTCCATTTATTATGTTACGTCTATAGGGTGTGCCTTGCCTTCTTCAGAACAGATTGCAGGTGTTTAGCAATCACACCTATTATGAAGGGCCAGGAGTTGGTGAACAAATATTTACTGGGCACCGACTGTGTATTAGGCCTTGAAGTACCTCCCAAGGGCCTGCAGGCTGCCATGCAAAACGTATTAGGTTATATGTGAAATGGCCAATATCTGGCTGTTTTTGACTTACAAGAAATGGCCATTTGGTTCAGCCTGAATGGAAAAAGATATGCACTGTGCTCCTTACCATAATTGAGAGATTGGCAGGGTGCGGTGGGGACTAGTACAGTGTGATTACTGTATAAGCTTGGAGAAGTCAAGTAGGAAGGACATCGGAGCCTCACCTCGAAGAATCAATGACAACAACAACAACAATAATAATAAGCTAACATTTATTGAGTACTTACCACCTGCCTGATTGTCCTAAGTGCTTCAGTCATTCATGTAATCATTCAGCCTTTCATTTATTAAATACCTGCATTGCGCTAGGTATCTTCTAGGTTTGGGGGAAAGGGGGTTCTTGACAGTAAACAAAATAGACCAAAAAGAAAAAAAATCTGTCTTAAAAGAGCTTACAATCTAATAGGAAAAAAAGACAGACAATAAACACTAAGTACAATAGGTGGTGATAAATGAGATGGAGCGAATAAAACATAGGAGGATATTTTGAATGTGTGAGGGGGAATGGAAGGAGGGGTTGTGGTTTCAAGTAGGGTGTGTGTGAGGGGAATCACTGAGAATCACTTCTGGGCAAAGGCTTGAAGGAGGTGAGGGAGTGAGCTGGCTGATTCCTGGGGAAGAGCCGTCCAGGGAGAGGGAACAGCCAGTGCAAGAAAAAAGCCCTGAGGTAGGACCATACCTGACAAGTTGAAGGAAGAGCAGATGAGAAGAGTGCCACGAGGGAAGAGGAGACAGGTGAGAGAGGCCGCAGGTCCGATTGTGTACCCTGTCTCATACAACATGATGGACTCCTGTAAGTTTGAGGGAGGTACTACTTGTATATCTCTTCTTTAGTTAAAGGGACAAAGGTACAGAGAGTTTATGTGATAAAGGTACAGAGAGTTTAAGTAACTTGCTGAAACAGGGTCTCATAGAGGAGCTAGGGCTTTTGGTCAAGGGCAGTGGGAGCCATGGAAGGCTTTTGAACAAGTTATGGGCATGGCCACATTTGAGTGTTTTTTGTTTTTTTTTAATTTATTTTTATTTTTGGCTGCATTGGGTCTTTGTTGCTGCACGCGGGCATTCTCTAGTTGTGAGTGGGGGCTGCTCTTCGTTGCGGTGCGCGGGCTTCTCATTGTGATGGCTTCTCTCTGTTGCGGAGCACGGGCTCTAGGTGCGCGGGCTTCAGTACTTGTGGCACTCGGGCTTCGTAGTTGTGGCTTGCGGACTCTAGAGTGCAAGCTCGGTAGTTGTGGCGCACGGGCTTAGTTGCTCTGCGGCATGTGGGATCCTCCCGGACCCGGACTCGAACCCGTGTGCCCTGCATTGGCAGGCGGATTCTTAACCACTGTGCCACCAGGGAAGTCCCCACATTTGAGTGTTAGCACGATTCCTCTGGGGTACAGAGAGAGGGCTGTGGAAATAGTCCAGGCCTGGGATGATAAGGCTGGACCCAGGCAGCGTAAACCATTGAACGAGGGGGCAGAGGATCTGTCAAGCTTGGTGCTGGGGGTGAGGTAGGGGTCCAGGCCAGGTGAGTAGGAAGAGGAGGAAGCCAGGCTGGTCTTGGGCTTATTTATTTAACAAATACTTAATAGCGCTTCTTATGCTCCAGGCGCTATCTAAGATTTTACATACACTGGCCCATCGAATCCTCAAAGGAATCTATAGAATAGAAACTATTACTTATTATTTTTAATGGGTGTATTATATTGTATGTAAAT